CTGTTTCTTCCACTGTCTCTTCCTCAATGTTGTCATCCATGGTTCTGTTCAAATCCTGACTGCATCTCTTTTCTTTTGTGCATGTTTTCTCACTATTCTGCTTATTCATCATGTTGTCACCTAATGACTTTCATTCTTCAGTTATCATATTATCATTCATATTGCTCATAAATGTACCCTCTTCCTTTTTATCTAAGACAGACTTGAAAGGGAACACTGTCTCTTTGAATATCACATCTCTACTCACAAAGAAACTACTACTTGTCAAATCTAACAGAATATAACCTTTCTGAATTTCTGAATATCCCATAAGCACTGCAGTCTTTTTCCTTGATGCTAACTTATCACTCTCAGTTAGAACCTTGGCTCAAGCAAGCACCAAGGCAATGGAATCATAAATTTGCAGCAGCTTTACAGAAGCTGGATTTCATTCAAGAGTCTGCATGATCACTCCTTATTTACAAGAAGGACAACTGAAGGTACTACAATAATCTTAGTGTATGTTGATGATGTCTTGGTAACTGGAAGTAATTTAAAGCTAGTAGAGGAAACAAAAAGGTCCTTACAACTAAGCTTTAAAATAATAGATCTAGGAGAGTTGAAATACTTTCTTGAAATAGAGTTTGTAAGGTCAAACAATGGAGTAGTTATGCATCAAAGGAAATATGCACTTCAACTCATTTCAGAGATTGGTTTATCAGGAGCAAAGATTGCTGGAACACATATTGATAATATGAAATTGACATCAAGGCATTATGATGAACAAACTGGACAAAATCAGGAGGAACCTCTAACAGATCAAGTCACTTATCAAAAGTTGATCAGGAAATTGCTATATCTCAACATGACAAGGCCTGACATTTCTCTTAGTGTACAAACACTAAATCAGTTCCTATATCAACCTAAAAAGTCCCATATGGATGCAGCATTGGGAGTTGTTAAATACATCAAAAGGCAACCAGGTCAAGGTATATCACTGTAAGTAGTGAAATTACAGCTTTCTGTTATGCAGATTGGGATGCATGTCCTCTTATCAGGAAGTACTGGATATTTGATTAAGTTTGGAGAGTCCTTGATATCTTGGAAAACTAGGAAGCAAATCATTGTGTGAAGAAGCTCAGATGAAGCTGAGAATAGAAGCTTAGCTTCAACTGTGACAGAGTTAGTTTGGTTGGTAAGTAGGTATGCTGAAAGAGTTGAAGGTTGAGGTACACTTACTAGTTCAAATATATCGTGACAACAAGTCTTCTATTCAATTAATCTTATGCAGTGTATCATGAGCGCACTGAACACATTGAGGTGGACTGTCATTTCATTTGAGAAAAACTTCACGATGGACAGATTAATATTGTCTATGTTTCAACACAACATCAGCATGCAGATTTGCTAACTAAAGGTCTCAACAAGCCACAACATGATCATCTATTGTCCAAGCTAGGTGTCTTGAATATATTTGCACCACCGCATAGCTTGAGGGGGAGTATTGTGGAAGTTAAAAGTTAGTTAGGCACTTTTCCTAAAGTTAGTTAGAGAGTTAGTAAGGAAGTTAGATAAGGTTGTTACAAAGGATGTATATATATACATAGGCTTACTCATTGTAAAACACACTTCAAGAATTATAACAATCTTCATCTCATTCTACAACTCTACTCTGAATCTTGTTTGAGTTTTTATCACTTCAGAGGAGTTCGAGAAGGTGGTGATTCAAATCTTATATTTTATAGTGATAAAAACTCTTTGTTAGTGAATTCTATCATTTGATCGCAACCATTCATAATTTTATGCGATGACACAACCGCACTTGTTAACTTTGAAAGAAAATCATGTGTATAAGAGTATATCTATTTTGAGTAACTGATATAAATTAGGATATCATTAAATGTGCACCTATGAAGAGTATAAGTTTCATTGTGCTGTTTGTATAAGCTAGAGGAACCATCCATGAGATCTGGATTTGAATCTAGCCTACAACATTATTGTATTATTTTTATTTTTTAAATTTATCTTAGAACTCATATTTGAGCTAAGATAATATTATCACACTCAAAGTCTTCAAATTTTGGATTCGACTCTGGACATAGGTAGGTAAATACATGAGGTGATTGGAGTTGTCGTGAAGAAGAAAGGAGAAAGAAAAAATCAAAAGAGAAAAATAAGAGAAAAGGACTTATGTTTTTTCTCAAAATAAACGTATCTAGAGAATTAAATTGTGAAAGTTTAATGATTCATTCTTGAACTCCTAAATACGTGTTTAATATTTTAAAGTCATGAGTTTATTTATGACTTTATTTAAAGTTAGCTTAATATTTTCAACTATTTTTTAGCATATAAATTGAGGTTCGTTCATTTGGCAAACTATTTTTCAACATATTGAACAATTTTATGTTTTGATCAAAGGGTAAAATTATTCATACATAAAAAATAAGTGAATAATATTAGAATGCTAACTTATTGTGGCTTAGTTGAAACAAATATAGTGTTATTGTTGATTTTTTATTTGCTCGTGAAAATATTTTAAACTATATTCCAAGGCATAATATATAAATATATCTTATAACTTGGCTTCAAATTATGTTTATGCCTTTCAGCTTTGGATGTGTCCAAGTAGACACTTAAACTTATATAAAGTTGAACAAATAGACGCACATGTCCTACATGTTATTTTTGCCCTATGTGTGTGTTGTGTCACGTAGGACTCATGTGTCTACTTGTTCAAGTTTATACAAGTTTAAGTATCTACTTGTGCATACCCAAAATAAATGTAAAATGAGGTCAAGTAAAGAGGCGATTTAATCAACTCTATAAGTGAAGAATAGTTTGTCTGGTTTTCTATTATTATCATTATCCATGTCCTAACAGTTCAAACAAAAAAATGTTCTCAACTTTATCAAATTCTAATTTTGAATTATTTCATGAAAAAGACTTTTCTATATGGTGTAAAAAGTTTTATTTTATTTTTAAAAATTAAGCTTTAGACCTATGGGCCTATTTATATATTATAAAATTGATATAATGATTAAGGTTCACTTAAAATGGTAGACAATAGACCAAAAATTCGATCTTTTTTTTAATAAAAAAAAATTAAAAGAAAAGATTGTATCTGTTATTTGTTCCCTAGATGTCCTCGCTAAGTTATGAAATTTAAGTTTTAGGGTATGTACTTCTTCCCTTTGTTGTGCATTTGTTCCTTTCTTTATGTCTATTGTGTTTTCCTATAATTGATTTCATTTTATGAAGAATTTTTTTAAAAAAGAAATACAAAGATCTAAAAACATAAAATAGTTATACGAAGAAGGAAAAATATATAAGCACACAAATTCAAACTAAAATTCTTTAATTCTAAGATAAAATATTTATGATTTATCACTGTTTAGGGTTCTCTTTTTCTCTTGTTTCAAAGTCCCTGAAATTTTGATAACTTATCATTTCTTTATTTAATGTTTGGTTTGCTTGTTGATTTCCTTCTCTAGAAAGGTGTCTATAATAAATTGTCATGCATCAATGGCTTAAGCTAATTAGTCGTTTAAGTTTAAAAATAAATCAAAAGGCCTAACTTCTTTTTATAATTATTTTTAATTTTTGAGATCCAAAATTATTTCTCTTTTTAATAGAAAAACTTTATTTTCTATCGTCTTAAACTAAAGATATATATATTTATAATATACCACAAAGTAAATTTTAATCTTGTAATTTTAAACTTGTCACAGGAAAGTTAAATTTAAAAATTGAAAAAAAGGAAAAATACATTCTTTAATATTTAGAAACAAACTAAAAGATAGACACAATATGATTCTTTTTTAATGTTAAAAAGTTTTTTTTATAACTAGAATATGGTGCCTCATTTTAAAGGCATTGAGTCGCTCTTGCTTGAATTTTGTGTTCCAATGCATGTATTTCCTCCATTCAACCTTCTGGTAGGAATTTTTAGATAGGTTTTGAGTATGTCTCTATAATCCAATCACTATTTGTCATATGGTCCATATTACCTTGGTGATTTTCAGGTAGCTCTATCTTTGAAGGAGGAATTTCCTACTAGTACTATAAGACCATATATAGTAGGGACTAGGGACCTAAATGCTAACTTCTAGTACTAGTATGTGATGTGTCTTGCAATTAGAAAAAATTATATCTTTTTTTTTCTTGAAGTTTTATATGTTCTTATGTTTATTTTATGTTTTGTCAAAATATTATTTTGTATTTTAGAGTTAGAAAAGGAGAAAAAAGTTAAGAAAAATTGTCAAAAAAAATGTGTTCTACAATGGGGAATCAATTCATGAACCGCAAATCATGTAGTAAAAATATTAAGAGTGGGTATCAAAAGGAACCCCTAGAGCTATTTATACGGGGATATATAGATATTGTGATGGATAAGACGGAAGAAATGAGGTAGAGACGTTTTTGTCTTTTGGAGAATGAGAGTTCTGAGAGGTTTACTATGGTGGGTATCAGGAGAGGTAGAATCGTAGAAGTAGGCTAAAGAAGTATTGGTTGAGATCATTAGAAAAGATAAAACACTATTAGACGATATGGAGATAGAGGATTAGGGTAGAAGGTTAGTAGGTAGGCAAATATTGTCTTGAGCTTTCTATTAATAATAATTGTATTACTCATATGTTATTTTATTCTTCTATTTTTATTATTATCTATTATGTCGTTTGCTTCAATTACCTACTTTTTTTTCTCATTTATTCAAGACATGACTTCTCTACTATGACCTTTTTTTTCAAACCTTTTTTTTGAAATGCTTTATTTGAGACAAGGATCTATTAAAAATAATTTATCTACCTTCATAAGATAAAGGTAAATACATGTCACCCTTCGCCAATTCCACTCGTAGGATACATTCGGTATGTTGTGGATTGTTTTTTTGTTAAACGGATAGTTATATATATATATATATATACACACACACAAGTTAGGTCGAGTTTATGACCCCCCCCCCTCCCTCTTGACAGTGGGTGCACATCGATAGAGTTTTGGGCCACGTCCAGGCCCTAGATGATAGTATTAACAAAATAAAGTTCCCTAGCATAGATAGTTTCTATTTTGCTGTGAAGATAGAGGGAAGGCCAAAAACTTCTTGTTTCATTCCTTCCTTCACCAGCTTGTCAGCAAGGCCTATTCTGCTCCCTGAAGATGTACACCAGCCTTGGTGTACCCAATTTTTTCTGCATCAATTGTCTGCACTCAACTGCAAGTTAGTGTATTGCAAATGGTCATTTTCAATCATGTGGATGACATCAAATAATCAATGTTGATTACTAAGGGATTAGGTTATGATCCACTCCTAGTTGCAACTCTCTATTTCATGTTTGGAGCTTTGCCATCGTAGGGTTTGTATTAGGAGTGCATTCAATGAAGTCTAGCACCCAATGAACCGTGTTGTCCCGGGAAACCCCCACCAAGTCCTCCTAATCACGGGTTGTTCTTTACCGCCCAATCAATGTTGAACTTGAAGAATCTCTATCGGGGGGCTCCCACCTGACCTGAATGATAGTTTGATGTCGTTTAAGCATCTCTTTTTGGACAACCATTAGATGGTATACCATGGTTTGGCTGATGGTATTACCACATTTAATGTGGTATTCTTCTTGTTGAAGAGATTGTTGTTCCTTGTAAACTAGATACTCCTCGATCAGAAAGGAATTAGAGTGCCCCGGTCAATTCTACTATTGAAAGGCTTATTCCAAATGTAATTCGGAAGAGGAATCTAGTTGTTGGTGCTCACATTCAAGGCCTGGATATTGTTGGTGTTATTTAAAATATTCTCCCAAAATTGAATTGAATTAGGGCACTCAAAGAAAATACAATTGTTATCTTCTTTCGGAGAGTTGCAGAAGTGGCTACTATGGTTAACGTTAAGACCTTTCTGATGGAGGGAGTGGCTAGTGGGGAGTCCACCATGGTAGAAAAGTCAAAAAAAGTTTTGGCTTTATTGTGAGCCTTGGTAGAGCAAATCTAGTCAAATTGCTTCCATTGATTTTGATTATTACCTAGTCTATGAAATGAGATGTGATTGTAGGCACTACCAGTTGAGAAGAGATGATCGCTGGCAAGTTCCAGATCAGAGTGTCATGTTGTGAGGTGTTCTAAGGAATGTGGTAGCATTTGATGGTGGCTTTGAGATATCATCAAGTTAAAAGAAAGGATGTCAAAAGTTCTCGATCCCATTTACAAAGATGCTGCTAATTTTGAGCTTTTCATCCTCGACCATAGACGATTTGACTAAGGACTTGGAGATGTGGAATCTAAGTATAATAAGCCAACCTTCTCACTCTTATGAACAACCAATGGTGCTTTTTTTGCATTCGCAGCATCCTTTTTGTGTGTTTTTCCAAGTTCTAGAGACTACTCTAATGTTATTAATGAGTTTGACATGCTTGTGGTTTTCGCTAGCCAAAACTCTGCTCTAAAGGTTGTTAGCCCCCAAGCCCCGTTGTTCCTAGTGATTGTGTCCCAGCCAAAAAGGTGAATACTGGTTCCCCATCTGAAATCCCTTTGGATTTTGTTGATGGAGTAAGTGGTTCTAAAGGGGGTACTAATGTACTGCATAACATGAGAGAGGATGTTGTTGAGGGTTGCTTTGGCTAGGACGGTTCTGCACGTTAAGTTGAGGAACTTGATTTTTATCATGCTGACTTCTTGTTCATGTTATCAGTAATAATTAGGAAATCCCCATTGGTAGACCTTTTGTGAAAGATTGGGAAACCAAGGTATTTCCCAAAAAATCGTTAGGGCCAACGTTAAGGAGGCTAGAGCACATTGCAAAGTTTTCAATGGAGCAATTCTTTATAAAGATCACCTAAGATTTTTCAAGATTAATTTTTTGGCCAGAGAAGATGTTGAAGCTATTCAATGTATCAATGATGGTAATGCAGTTCCTCATGTCAGCTTAGAAAAATAAAGTAAAATCATCTACGAAAAACAGATGTGAGATCTTGGGCCCTGTAGTGGTGGTTTGATGGGAGTCTATTTCATGACATGGACCATTTGGTCGATATCTCTAGAAAACCTCTCCATCAGAGTATTAAGACATAGGGGAACATGGGATCGCCGTGTCGGATGCCGCTGGAAGGGTTGAAGTATTCAGTTTTCCCCCATTGACAAGGATGGAAATGGAGCTGGAGGTCACACAGCACATAATGAAGGAGGAAATATTAGTGGGAAAAATAATGAAATGGAGAGTATCTCTAATAAAAGACCGCTTTAACCTATCAAAGGCTTTTTCCAAACCAAATTTAAAATCATCTTGGGGTTCTTCCCTTTCATCTTTTTGAAGTGAGGGATATACTCCTAGACAATGATAGCATGATCGAAAGCTCTTCTAGAGGAAAGGAAGTTGGCTTGACTGGGGCCAATGATATTTTGAACTTTGAAGGTGCGGTTTCTTGTGATTCATAATGATTTTTTTCACTAATTTATAACTCAAATTACAATGACCAATGGGCCTGAAATTTTTAAGCATGGATGCATTTTGGCACTTGGTGATGAGTCAAAAAAGGGTGTTGTTCATGTCAGGAGAAATGAACGGTTATCTAATACCTTTTTACAGGAATATAATTAGTAGTTTTCTCCCCCGCTAGATCTCAATATTTCAGAGGCTTAAAAGATTTTGAGCAATGAGAATTTCCAGGTCTCTGATGAGAGAGTCCAGAAGGTCCTTGGCTTCGTAGTGGATGCAATTTACACGAGTCTGGTCCTCTAGGGGGCAATTTTCAGATTGGGAATGGGCAGTGGTATAGATCTTGGTGAAGCAGTTGATGATGTTGACTTTAATGTCCTTGTTATATAAGTACTTATTTCCCACATCATCTTGATACAGAATTTGTCCTTGCGTCTTCAGTTGAGGGTGGAGGTATGATAGAATCTAGTGTTTGCATCTTCGTCACTTAACTAGTTGATCCTAGGTTTGATTTTCCAGAATTCTTCCTCAGTTCTAGGAGGTTGTCATAGTCAAGGAGGAGTTCATTCTCGAGGTCTTGAAGGAGGTAGTGCTATGGTAGTTAGCAGAATTTTGGATGCCTTCAAGCTTGCTAGAATTTTTTTCACACTATTGAAGATGTTGCCAAAAGTTGATTTGTTCCAACTGGTAGTTTCCTTCCAGAAAATATCAATATATTGCCTAGGGTGTTGCTTATGTCAAAACATGCTTAACAATACCTTGAAAGGATGGGCGCCCACTGCCCACACCACATGGGTTCTATTCTAAAATGCTTGTTGGTAGCATTAACAACCTGATTTTGGAGGCTCACAAGCAACAGACAGTGTGGTCTGATAGCGGCAATTACACATTAGTCGTAAAAAATTCCTTTTAATTAAAAGTATTTTTGCTGTTTTACTTAATTGTTAAAAAACAAATTGACTTTCTCCTGGGTTGTGAATTGTGAGAACCACGTATCATCCGCTTCCCCTTTTTCTTCCACCACCATCCGAGCCACCGTGGCCACCGACAGAGGAGCCACCATAGACACCGCCAACGAAGCCACTGTAGATATCGCCATTGGAGCCACCGTAATTTCTCAAACCCTTTCTCGTGTCTAACTCCTTTTCCATTCTCGAATTTCTCCAATTTCTGGTTTTTAATGGTGATCTAAGATATAAAAGTTCCTGATTGTAGATCTAAGAGGTAGAGAAGTGTTGATTTCTAGTTTTGATAGATCTGTGGCATGATAATGGTGAAAGTTTTTCAAGTTTCCGCATACAAATCTACTGATCTAAGGTCTTATTCTTTGATTTTGTTCTTCAAATAGTAATTTGGAATTTCTTTCATATTGCATGTGAGTTTTGAATTTATGATCTCTGCTTATTTATGTTTTAAATTTATATAGATGATAGATGATTGGTTGGCTAGCTTCAGATTGAGGTGTAATTGATTGATTGATTGTAGTATGTGAACACTCACTTTAGTAATTTGCTTGTTGACCAAGTACTCTACTGTTTGTTTCGTTGAATTTTCAGGTGATGCATCGAGATTCCCTTTCAGATAACTTGGTTTTTGAGAGTAAATCAAAGAAAGGAAGCAATGCACTTCTTGCTCGAGCGTAGTCTCCTGGTTGGAGCAATGCTGATAAGGCACTCACTAGTCACTACTTTCTATAATGAACCATTGATTGGGTTTCTGTTACCGCGTTTACATTTTGGTGAAGTCAGTATTTGCGAGGTATTCCATAGTATTCATACTAAACAAATTCTCTGGGCTAATGAAGGAAACTATGCTCATGTCGATTGTCCAAGGCAGACTGATTATGTTACATTGTAGGGCTTGAGCAGAAAGATAACACTTTTTTGGTTGTTGCTTTCTAGTTTTTCAATTCTGCTATGCAGTTGCACTATTTCTATTACAGTTTGGGGTGATTAAGCTTCCTATGAACTTTCTCAAGTCTTAAAAGTGATTGCACCTGCGAGACTCTTAGATGTTTTGTGACGTTTCTTTAACTACTTGAACATATTGTTCCACTTTCTTTTCAGACATCTGCAGCTCAAAGCAAGTATCAACAACACATGTTTCGTTGAACCTCTAAACCTGATTCACAGGTACATTGTGTTTATTCTTAACTTGTACCTTATAAGACTAGAAATAGAGATTGGTTTATCTGATTTCTCCGTGTTCGTTGTTAACTTGTTATCTCATAAGACTAGACATAGAGATTGGTTGATCAGATTTCTCTTTGAGTGTTATAGTAGTTTCCTCACAAGTTTGATGAAATTCTTCAAAAATGATTGAACCTGCCACTTCTCTTTATTTGTTTCTGGGGTGAAGGCTGAAAAGTGAAAACTTACCTAAACTGTAGGAGAAGTTAGTTTATGTTTCACCATCTGTTCACGTAGGAGAAGTAAACTGTAGGTTTTGATAAATATTTAGTGATAGTGCATAGTTCAGTGATGAAATACAAATACTTAGCACTTAAGCTGTGATTTTGACCATTGAATATTTGTTTCTCATTTTTGTATAATGATTGTTTGGTTATGAAATATGTATATGAACTTTCAGAAATTTTATTGTTAATCTTAGTCTTCCAATCTACTTATTTTAGATTCTCCAGGAGTTAATGGATAGATGTGAAATAGAAAAGTTAGAGAATGACTCGGGCAGAGCAAAACACTAACACGTCAAAAAATAATGAATAATCAGTGGCTGCTTTAGAACTTCAGATATATGCTTGCTTCTATCTGAATCTTCTTCCATCTTAACTGTTTTTATGTTATCCAGTTACAGGAAATATCTTCCCTTTTGGAGATTTTTGGTTTACTAAGAAGGAACATTTTTTTTGGGTTCTCAAGTGAATGGTACAATCCTGCTCGCGAGTGATGTCGATCAATAGGGACTAGGAAGAATGAAATATTAAAGATGGTATGTTGGTTATTCAAGCTCTTTGAATGCCTTTGACGTTCCTATATTTGCAAGTTAATATGTACTTTTAGCTTTAAATACATGACATTAGTTAATCTTACTAGATAATTTTACAACTATTGGGATTAGACTTTCCCACTAGCATTAACAGTTAAAAAATATGAAACTTTGTGTGGCTCTCTCTGTTATCACTATAGAAAATGACAGAGAACTATGGCTTTCAACTTAAATAGTTTCAATTTTAACAAATATGTAGTTGACAATCGGGATTGTGTAATTTACACTTGGATAAACCAATGGATATACTCTATTATGTATCTGAATGATCGGTGAAATTGCACAGGCCCATGTTCTCTTCCTGCTTAATGATTGGCTCTTTCTTCAATCTATTATGTATCATGATGAATTTGCAGTTAAAAAATACTCTTATTTTTTCAATCTATATACAACTATAAGCCAATGTATGCAACATTGGTCTTAACCTATAAGTTCTTGAAAGCCTTTGTTTTTTTGTCATCTTGCAATAATTTTTTTTTTATATTCATTCATCTGTGTTATTGCCTACATATGGGGTATTGGTGAGAGTTGAATATTAATTTGATCAAATATTGTTATGAAATAACTTCATGTTCGAGCTGTTATTTGTTTTGGAGTGTGTAGCTTTTGTTTATGCTGAATTCAAGTACATCTTTTTCAATGTTGTGATTATGATTTCTGAGTATTGGGACTGTTGTTAACTGTTGTCTAAAAGTTTGTCCTTTCGTGCTTGGTCATTTCAATGATTTGTTGTTGATGCAGACACCATTTGGATATAAGAGAGGATGTTTTATTGATCAGAGTTGGAGTTACACTTCTAGGAGTTGGCTTAAAGAGTGGAATTGAGGTACTTCGGTCTATGTCTTCCTTATGTTCCGGTTCAATATTTGCAGATCATTTCTAGCAGACCAACCGGTGAACGTAAGGTCTCTGATCCAAATATACAAGATTGGGTTTCAATGGGAGGTTATGGAAAGCACGGTAATAGAGAAAACAGTAAGAAAACTCATGTTAAGTGAAGAACGCAAAGATGTGAAGAAAAAAGTAGCAGACATGCAGCATAGTATAGTTTCTGGTGTGCAGATTGATGGTATTTCACATAAGAATATGAAAGATTGTTAGACTTCATTTCTGCCATGCCATCATGGATCCCTCCACCAACACATGTTGCTGGGACAATCTTGAGTTTAAACCAATACCAAGCAAGTGTTGGAAGAATTACATATTTTTGTTGCCTGCTACCTTGGCAAGACAACTCCTCAATCACAAAAGGAAGAATAAAATCCTCCCGATATTACATATGATTGTGATCCAAGTTGTTATACTTTTACTGTCTCAACTTCTCGTTTCTTCATTCTTAAACACATTCTTTTTATTTGTTTTGATAACTTGAACACAATATTATAGGTAATTCATATTTTTACCACTAGAAGACAATAAAGTGGATGGTATTAAGTTTTTTATTGTTCTTTTAAAAGAATGATGGTGTTTGAGTTTTGTATTTCTTCGATTACTATTTTTGTATTGATTTCTCTCGTTATACATAAGTTAAAGGTGAATTCATGGTCAATTATAATCTTTATAATAATTTCAACTAAAATAGGTCTCATTTATTGGTAATTATAATTTATAAATGTGGAAGCTTTACTGGCAATAGTTATTGCTGCTAAAAATAATTACTTTTATCGGCAATATTATAGGTCTTTACCGACACTTTAAATAAATACCGCTAAAGGCTTTAGCGACATTGGATGCAATGGCAATAAATTAAATGTTGCTAAAAGTTTTTGTGGCAATAAATATTGCCGCTAAAAGGAAAATTAAATGCCACTTAAAAGTCTCTTTTGTTGTAGTGCAAGAACCTCAGGATATAGATTTATCTAAGGGATATTGGCCATGTGTCTTTCAAGTCTCTCTAAGATGAGGCCTTCTATATCTCTTGTTGGTTCAGGTGTATTCACAACCTTTATAACCTAGGTCCACCATCCCGCACTAATTAAGACAATTTCTAAACTGAGTTGTTCTAACATTATTGACTTGCAAGACTTCGTTGAAGTTACCACCAATGATCCATTTACTCTTGTGATTTTGGGCAATTTGGCACAACTCATCCCAAAGGTCAATTCTAGTATTCATGTCATGGCTGGCATAAGTAGCTGGGAAAAGCCAAGGTTTTTAGTTTGGAATTACCTCCACCATAACGCGGACTCCTTGAGGAGTGATAATAGGCTATCCAGCTTTACAATGTCCTTCCTCACGATTACAATGCCACTAGAGATGCCATTAGCAGCAGACTGGATATGAGTATTGAATTTCAGCTCCTCAATGAGATGTTTATGATCAGTCATTTTTGTTTCAAGTAGCACAACCATGGCAAGCTTGTGAACTTTGACATAGCATCACATTGTCACATAAACTTGGTGCTATTGGCTTCCCTCGCAATCCAAATGATGAAACTCATTAGAATGTGCTGAGTTGGTGGTTGATCCTGTAAGCTCTTCCCCTTTCCCACCTGGGCTGGCTCCATCACATCTCCCAATGGGTTGAAAATCATCACTGCTGCTGTTGCATCCTTTTCGTTCTTCAGATTCGAGGTACATTGGTCATTTGTCTGGCATTGAACTACTACGGTTGCGCTGGTAGCCAAGCATTGGCAAAATGTACAGTTATTGGACGCATTTTCCAAAACTTTCATACAGCAATATCACACGCTTGTATCCACATATTAAAATATCAGATTTACAAGTAAAAGAAAGCTATGGAATAAGATACTATCAATCACCCAACAAGTCTATCTGCTTTTCTTTCATTTACACAGTTTTACTATAACTCGATGTATAACAAAAAACATTAGTATACCATTAATCTTTGCATGCAGTATCCAACAGATTAGCAAAGATCTGTTATGGTGTTGCATGCAGTATGCAACACTAAATTATTATAGATAGAACTACTTGAGGTGGAACTGAGCAGTAGATTGAGTCCATAACATAGATTTAAAAAATACAATCTTTGATCAAGAGATAACGTAAATTTCAGGATACATTGTTTAAGTCGACACAATACATGCAGCTCCATAATTGCAAACAACACAACACCACGACCAAAAGAGTCATTAAAATACAAAGATGTTCAAGGCAAGTCCTTAGAGACCTAGTCCAACTGTACGACCGTCTCTTCGGCGAAGTCCAGCAGTGTATTGCTTCTCTAAGTCCATTTGAAGTTCCTTTTGCCTCTCTGCATCGTGGATGACAGGTTTGTTCTCCGTTGGCACGTCGCCTTTCACACCCTACAATTGGCCATAGGCACCAAGGCAACCTCAGACTCTAAAAGTGTGTTAGTACATACGAGGAAAACTTTACTGAGATGACGTTAATAGGACTCAACACTGATGGCAGCTATTACTTTTGACAATCTTAAGTAAATAAAAGGGAACGGAAATTACCATGAGTTTGTTGAACTTTTCTTGTCGATCGCGATCACCAAATAGTGATGTATCCCATCGATGAGTGGACTACATAATCGACCATCAATTGACCATATAAAGAGCAAGAGAGTGAATAACATTGAATATTTGATAAAGAGATATATATAACAAGCAAAAAAAAAGCATTTGTTGATGCAACAGCCAAAATCGAGTTGCTACAGCCTGTCAGCAAAATGGATCAAATAACACTTTTAAGAGATGTATCCCCTTGAAATGGAACTAATTTATCGAGATTATACACAAGCCGTAACTTATTTCATCGAGATTATACACAAGCTGTAACTTATTTCATATTGTTGCCCCCATAAGCTGACAAAGGTGATACGAAGTTTTATGGAGAGGTGAAGAAGGTGCAGCAGGTTGACATGCAGAGTGATAATATGGGAATAAGTTCCCACACCAGCAGGAACACAAAGAGAAGAGGACACATAGGTAGAGCAAAATTACCTCTTCAGAATTAGTGGTGGTTTTCTTGTTTCCCCACAGCAGCTTCTTCTTTTGGTCAGTAGTCATGATACCCGTTCCAATAAGGTTTCTATTAACTGTTATGTTGCAAAGGTTAAATCAATAAGATAATATGAATAGCCTTATAGCCTAATAGCCTAACGAATTACTGAGAAATATAATTGCAAGCATAAGAACTTTGTAATAGTTCCTGAATAAAGCACATATAGTCAAACAACCATCAGTATAGACCACTAAAGAAACATAAATAAATACTATACATAATATCTTATTGTACAGATGCTGCTTCCTATCTATGCCGCATGGTGCCTTGCAAGCCTCCAAGCGCTTAGCGCACTGGACGACCAAGTGGTCATGGCCGTGCCAAGTGAAAACTTGGCTGGTATCTATGTCGCCCCATTATTAGCTTGTGCCAAGCACTTGTTAGCCTACAATACCCACAGTAGTCAGCAGGCACGGTCCATCCATACCCTCCCGCAATCTGCACACTCACTTTAAAGATAAGCGTGTATTCTCTCCAAGAGCCACGGCCTTGCAATGAAGCCGAACAAATTGCTTGGAGTCATGATATAAGTAAGCTCATGTAAATATGGATTAATTTGGCTTCCAAGTTGCATCATGTTTTTCCAGCTTATTTATGTCATGTCATGTCATGTCTTGACTTCTAAGTTAAGATTTATAAAGCATATATATGGTGATTATAGTTGTCAAAGTTTCAGCCAACATTCAAGTCTCTGTACTGGTGCTCTACCCCTGGTGCCATATTTGGTGTTCTTGTAATTATAAAGGAGACTCATTGGATCTTTCTTTTGCATATTATGATCTTGATATTAGTTTCCATATACGGCACTAACAAGTCTATTGAGGGGGCTTTGCTTGGTGGAAGATAATCACGGAAGTCAACTTTGCCTTAGGTCACCCTTCCATGACATCTCAGAAACTCATCGTGTAATAATACACATGCAAACAGATCTTATAAGCGAAAGAACTGTCTCTTCGTACTTATGCTTTGACTAACAATATAAGGACACCGATACTCCCTCATCAATATTTGTAATGAACAATATATCATCCATGCCTCTAAAGTCTAACAAGTGGACAAAACAAGTGGTATATATGTTAGATGTTAGAAAGCTTTTTTACCCACAGTAGATACAAAAGCTTTTTTACCTAAAAACTTGTTCAAACAATTCAGATCCCTATAATAAGCATTTTTTAAAATAACCACTTCCGAAATCTCAAAAACTAGGCCAAACAGTCTTTAAAGTGAAGAAATTAGCAGGGATTCCAATCCTAAATGCAGAAAACTCTAGGGGAATGACATGATAGATGATGATGTAACATATAGAACAAAAACAAGATCATTGAGATAGAGAAGAGATACCTACCAAAATTAAAGGCAAGTTTTATAGAACAGTTGCACAAACAATAATATTTTGTAGGAGCAAATGCTAGCTTTCGTTCATATCCATAAAATGAGTATCGTAGAAAAGGGGAGGTTAAGTGAATGTGCAATCAGTGTGTAAATAACACACCTAGAAGGGGAAAAATTACACACAGAGGTAAATGTAAATCACATGGAGAGAAATCACCTCCTGCAATCTCTAGAAATCCATCAACATTTAGAGAAGAACAGAACACATGAGACACGGGATTCATACAAGAGATACAAGCTAATTGGAACTAACATTTACACACTATTGATATACTTCCACTACAACAACATACCCAGTGTAATCTCACAAGTGGGGTCTGGGGAGTGGGGAGGGTGGAGTATACACAGAGCTAAGCCCTACCTCTTGAACATAGAGAGAAGATTTCGGAAAGACCCTTGGCGCAAGTGCGACAAATCAAAGTTGTTATGAATATTGAAATATCGCAGTGAAGAAAACATGTCAATTATAAGGATGAAGAGCATGCACAAAAAGACCACTAACAACATCGAAATAATGTGATAACTGAAACACAGTAGACGAGATGGTAACAGATGTCAAAATACTACGACAGACATGGTGCTACCAGACTCTAAGCCTAACTTATAAAGACTCCTACTTTTGTCATAAAAGATAAATTACGGAGTAATGAAATTGAATTGGCACTATTGAAGCAAAATCGATTTGCAAGACTAGTATAACTGACCAAACTGGCTTTGGATTCAGGCCTAACTTGTTCATTTATTTACATTCTGGTAGCAGGAGATAAGGTGTCTTTCATGACTAACAATAGGGCGTCACACCCTATTTGTGTAGCATTTGCCACTCATTAATGTTTTAGCTCAACTCTCCCTCATAAGAACTTGTAACTCCGAGGTTAATTATCCATTCCCTTGTGGGTTTATTGGTGTCACTTGACCCAATAAACACTAATGTCTTTTGGGTCCCAAAACTCGAATACGAGCACTTTCTTGTCATCAGCAATTTATGTGAGTCTCACCTCGTGGTAGTTAATTCTCAAACATATCTTTTTTTGAAGCTGAAGATTTAGAAATAATTCTCAAACACATCATGGTTCTTTGAAACCAATCTGGT